ACAAATGTACTTATATTTAATGAAATTTGTAAGGTCAATTCAATTAGAAGGGATTACGTTTTCGAGTTCTTTAAGAATATTATGAAAAAACCGAGATACGTGTAAAATCCTACGGGTGATAAATTAAGACATGTAAAATCCTATAATTAGGATACTTTATTAATTGTTGGGAATTTTAAAGCCATTCGCATCACCATGAAAAACTGTGTAGGATATTAACATCCGTTTTTAGGAACCAATTTTACATGATGACCTATTTTAGAAATAGTAAATGACAGTCATTTCTTGCTATGAAACTTTGCATTGAGGTATTACTTCGTTTGTTTCCTAATCTACAGAATTCATTTGAGTGATGAATAGAAAAAATATGACTGAGCTGTAGAAAAAAATTATACTCTTTATACTTTTATTTTTTATTTCCCAAGCCAGAAAAAAAAATGTAGAACTGAATATCTCACATTAGCATGTAAAAAATATGTGAGCGTATACCACCATCTATTAGTAACAAAAATTTTTTATATATTTTTGGTTTAAAACATTTTCTTTTGTTGATTTTCTGTCTATTTTGACCGCATGAGAAGTTACTTTTTTTTTAGTTTTTCAAAACTACTCGCGTGAATTTTACACTATATATATATATCGTTAGTGAATATATAGTATACATTAGGTATGGCAAGGTAGTTCTATTATACTGTGATAAATTCGCTTTTACTTTTTTTGTCTGGTTGAAATTACTATTATCGTCTTATCTTTACATTTATTTATGTGGAAAAATGAATTTTTATAATCGCTTTTTTGTGTAAACATTTTGTAAACCGAAACACATTGAATAGTATAAATATGATTAATATACAATTTTAAAATCATCAATGTTGTGTATCTCTATTTTTTGTGCTCTCGTAGTCAAGTTAAAATCAATGTCTATACATTTTTAATATAAAATATATTATAAAACGTAAAAGCGTTTAAAAAAATCACATAATAAATGCTAGCTCAAAAGTCAGCAGAAAAAAAATCTGTTACAACTTATAATCCATTAATAAAAACGTTTTATGATATTATTTTGAAACACAACAAGTTGCAAATTGTGTGAAGTAGAGGATTTTAAAACAACGGAAATTCTGTGATTATATATATGTAGATAAGTTTAATCAATAATGCAAAACGAGTAAAGATTGCCACTGATTAAAATTTAATTTAATTTAAATTGTATTCAGGTTTTTAACTAATTCCCAAACTTTAAGCGTATATTAATTGTATAATTTTAAATGAAAAGGGGATTTCAAGTATGTTACCATTAAATATTGTAACTGTTAGCAGCATATTTTCCAATGGTTTAAATTTGTATAGCAATACGTTTTTGCATTAGTGTTCTAAATAACTTTTGAGTTATGAAGTAGTGGTATATTTAATACTACGGTCGTTAATTAAAAATAATTTCAATAATTTATTTGATGTATCCTCAGTGGTAACTTTAGTATAAACTATGTTGGATAATTTGTTGTTGTTATTACATTAGACGAGGTTCCTTCACAGGGATGGTTATTTCAATTGAAGATGTCAAAAGTTATATCCAGAGAAATCAGTTTTAATTGAATAACTGTAATTTACCAAATGCCTAGAATAATAATTATTTATGCATAGACTGAACATTTTGATTAGTTAACCTTAATCGAGTTAACTAATGTGAGGTACTTAATACCTAGTGTTTAGTTGTCATTGATACAATTTATTTTTCGTAGATGCAATTCAACTTTTTTTTCCGGTGGATAGTAATAATATATTATATTCTTGTTGAGGACTTTTATTAATGATTACAATTGATTCTGGCGTAATATGTTCTTATTACATAATATAGCTTTTCCATATTGATGAGTGATAAATATTTTACTTAACACGTTAGTTACTTAATGGAAAGTAATAGATCTTATGTAATGGCACCTATGTATAGTGTGCCGATAAATGGTTGAAATTAGTACATGTCATAATAAAACGGTCGGTATCAGTTTGGATGAAAAGCTTATAAATTAATAATTCTCGAGAGTGAGAGGAAAATAGACAAGGTTTTTCAAAATCGTGTTCCACGTCCCGCTAGTAAGGTTAACAAGAGAGATATGTAAATAGATAAAGGTCATGAAGCATTAGTTCAGACTGTCCATATTGATTTTTTTGGACCATTAATTCAAACCCTCAATGGACATAAAAATTTGTGTTAGCTGTTATAGAAGTTTCGACGGTTGTTTCCTATGATCAACTGTTGAGACGGATATTTTGACAAAATACATACTACTGTAATTAATAAAAATTATAATCTTTTACAGTATTAGACACGTATTTGAATGCATAATTTAGTGAATATTTAATATTTTGTTGGCTATTTTTGGTTATTAAATAATAAAATTAGTGTAGCTAACGACCCAGCTCATATGAATAGAGAGAACGTCCAGCGTAGCAGGTAAGTGCATGTACAAATACACAAACCCTAAATTAAGAGTGATTTCTTTTAGGCTGTGCATATGGTACCTCGGGAGTTATTTCATTCATTTGTTATACATTTCATGTCGTACCTACGTTCCGTGTTGTTTTTGTTTACGGTTTAGCTCTTTGTTTTTAGTTTTATCGTGTTTGTATTGTGCGTCCGTCGCTCACGTTCACTTCACTTGGAAAGAGTCAACTTTTGTTTTTGAAAAAGTCACTAGTTCAGTAACAGCAATGGGCTTTTATCTAGATAATAACATTTGTCTATAATTCTGGTTTTATTCTCACCTACGCTGTTATAAGTACAACATTTATTTGAAAAAAATAGTTACTGTAGGTTGTACAAGGGTATTGCGAAAGCAAGTGTACCGGCTAGGTAATACTTGAAGTTTTGTGTGAACGTAACCGTAATGGCTAAGTTATGTTCACAGTGTGAGTATTAGATGATTTATGACTGATATTTTTTCGACGACTATGCTTGTATAAAATCTTATTTTAGATGCAATGCTTATGAACTATAATTGTTTGTATTTTTTTAGCTTTTATCTCGTGTTATATGAACGGCAATAAATATATACTATACGTTAAAAAAAACGGAAAGGTTTATCAACACTACAAAATCACTACAATCTACTTTTATTTAATTTTCTTCGGATTTTTGTAATTGTATTGTAATATTAAATGAGAATCAATTATAATTTTTTAACAATTACAGTATAATATCATAGTTATTTTTTTTTTAAATTATTTAATTATTTTATAAAATCCAGTTAAAAAATAATGTATACATCTCCGAGCTTTGGAATTTCAGTTATAATCAAACTGAATTTTTTTGATTTCGTGAACAAGCAACACAATTTATAGAGACGCTGTATTTGGCTTGAGACGTTGAAATTGGTTTTTAAATATTCACCAGTTTATGATCTAACTGTATGGTAAAAAAATATTACTTTTGCATATTAAACACTCGTTAACATCCGCTAATGGTGGTATAACCCGAGTACGCTGTAATGGTCTCCCTATCGACGCTAAGTATATAGAGATTTGTGATGCTTCTATATATAACAGAATATACTATTTATAAATTGCTGACTCCAAAAATGGGACAAATGTATACTCATCAATTTTATTTTTATGATCATTTTGTATAAAAAATGATCAAATCTAACATATTTTTTTTTTATAGGAAAACATAAAATAAGTAAGTGGTACTTTTGAAAATTAAACAATTTAAGCGGACATTTTTTTATTATGTGTATTAATACAAAAAAGTGACGCCAACTCGGAATATAATATACATTTACTAAAATAAAATATGTGTTTAAAGTTATTTCTTAAGTACTTTAAGGTTCGGTATTTAGGGTTTATCCACTGAATTCAGCAAAATGTTTAAAAAAATTGTTTTTTTTTTGTTTGTTGAGTAAATATTGAACAATTTTATTATTCCACAAAAATAAAACGACGAGTCTATAACCTTGACTAATGTACCTATATTTGGGTTTGAGCGTTATAGCTTTAGTACTCTCAATATACAAAAATGTATAGTCCTAAAATATTTTGACGTTACAATGAGTGTAAATATTTATTAAAGTGTCAATCCATCAAGTTGAACGTACAGGAAAAATATCGGTTAGGGGCGGGGAGGGAGATTGTTATATTTGTACAAAATGTATAAGCCAATTTTAAACAAATCTCTCAAATGATGATAAAGATTGCCAAAATTTGGTAACATTTGAAGGGTCACGGGGAAAAAAGATCAATGTCAATTTTTTTGTGAAAATGAGATACTATTTTATTTTTCCCTTTTTGTAAAAGTAAAACGTATTTTTTTCTTTTACTTAAATATATTTTGTTTGCCGACAACATAATATTATGTTTTTCTCTCGCTTAAAGCCTTGTTAAAATGTCGTTTTGTAAGTTAGTAAATTTCAAAAACGGAATTTCAAAAAATTGACATTGATCTTTTATCCCCGGTGACCCTTCATTTGATTTCGATTTTCACATAATGTCATTAACAAACATATTATTATTCCAGTCGAGTTCTCCTTACGGTAAGAAAATATACAATAATCATCATAGCCGATAAACAAAAAGCGTTCATTTTTTTTTTTATATAAACAATAACACGTACAATAAATACATTTTATTTTTTACAGTAGAAATTTGTAGACCAAAAAAAAATGTTTATTCGCGTCTTTGAACAATTTTCAATCTTTAAACGGCTATCTCCTGTACCATATGATTTTTGTAACTATCGACACCTTGGCCAACGTTGTCCAGTTTGTTGAGAAATTGGAATTTCCGATGAACATCATTATTCGTCTCCCCGGTCAGCAACAACCGGCTACCGAGGACAGTTACATAGGGTTCATGTGGCAATCACAAGGCCAGTATTTTGCAGTCACTTGGCTTTGACGCTTGCGCCACCCCATTGGCGCAGGATCGTTTTGGCGCTTCTGGCTGTTTAGCTGTTGTATTCAAAAAACCCAAGCCGACGTTACGCCACTGTACGCGCTCGCTGGTTACACACGACGGACATTCGACACCCAAGCGCAAATCGAAAAAGCCCGGTTAACACGACTGTGAAAATAATATTGTGTTAAATGTTAAAACGTACTCGAGTGTGCATATTTAAATAGATTAAAAAAAAAAAAAAAATTACAAATCGCGAGTTCGGATCGAATACTTGTTTTTTTTTTTTTAAATTTTCGTTTTTATTTTTTTATAATGAAAAATTCTTGAGACAATTTTTGCGTGCGTTACTCGAGCGGTTACGGTCGCTTTGTGTAGGGCTGATAATTTTTTTCCGCGGCTTTACCCCTACGTGTACGGAACTTTGAAAACGCGTTGGACGAAAACAAAAATATAAAAAAAAATTCTAAAGCCACGATGCCATCGCCGCTATGGTCGTGCAACACTTGAGCGAGGCCGACGGGTACGACGGAACGGATAAAAAAAGGTGGGTTTCGATTAACGGTTCGGTTACAACGACGTTATTAATTATACTATCGAGATGATAATTTTTTTTTCTTCAAAATACAGGCGTGCTTACTTGTGTGTTATGTATTGTGTGAGCCGTAACGCGTTTTTGAAACCGACCGACTCGGTAAAGCCCCCGGGGGGCGTAAATGCGTCGAAGAGGGAAATAATTTAAAAAAAAAGAATAATGTGTGTGCTCTAAAACAACTGTATAACAAGCAGTTATAATCCCTTTAAAGTTCTCTCTATTCTGTTTGACGCCGGAATACGTTTTTTTTTTCGAGTGTCTTTATTGTTCCAAGCCGCGCCCGAGTGGTGTTTTATAAAAACAAGTGTTTTTATTGTACGCCGCATAAACATTTCAAACAGCCCATCAACGGTAGACAAGGTATAGACAATGGTGTTTTCTCTTTTGACGGGAAACTGTACTTTCCGGTCTGGTTATGCGGGCTTAGTATAATTTATAATTTGGCGGTTTTAGTATCGAGCCGTTTGTAGTGGAGTAAACGAGGGAAACGACCAAAGAGGAAAATTGCAAATTGCAGCAAGCTTCAGATAATAATTATTGCTAAGACCTAGTAAAATAGTCGGTGTATTATAATGTTATCTCCTGTTGTTTAATGCGGTTGAGAACTTAATCCTGGGCCTAATTTTTATCATTTTCAGCTTGAATGACAGATCACAGAATGTAAATTTTAAAATTGCTTTCTTACGCACATCTATGTATTACAATATGAATATTAAACAACTTTTTATTTTCGTGGGTAACATTATATTGCTCAGAACGTTATATTTTAGGTTCTAATATTTATATTTTTATAACTTGACATTAATAATTATATTATTTAAGTGTGCCTAGAGCTAACTTAGTGATATATTACTTAGATGTTGTCTGTGCTATGTATACGATTACTATAAGTCCATGCGAATTTTTTTGTGTTCCCTCAGAGATCTTTTTTTTTTTAACACAATAACGATATATTAGTGGGTAATAATAAAATGGTTGTATGTTGTATGGTGCGAACAAATCTCATGATTTTTCATGTCGACTGGGTATTACTGTTTGTACAACGAGGAAAACCAACAAATTGCACACACATAAGGAGCTTCTCGAATGTACCACTATTCTAATCCATGCCATTTGTTTTAAAGAAAGAAAGCATACCGGCCTTACGCGCTCTCTGCTCACCGGCTTAGGGTTTTACAATTTGCTGTCCAATTTGAATTGTATTTTGACGTGCTCATTCTTAGCGCATTTCGGTCTCCGGGGACGTTTTGAACCCAAAATGATCAAAACGTGAATCGAATGGGGGTTGAAAAAAGAAAAAGAAGAAAAAAAAACAAATTAAACCTGGTACTTACCGTAAACTTTTGCAATAAATATACCCTGAACTTTAATATATTCTTCGTTATCTACTTCACCACAACCGTAAATACACAAAGGACACTCTATATGCATTGCATTTTATATAATAAAACAACAATAAAATTTGAGAATAAGATTTAAAATATAAATATTTTATTTTTCTTAAAAAAGAGCATGTTTGTCAAATATATTTATATCATGCTTGGGTTCCCTGGATATCCACGGAAAATGCATTTAAAAGTGTTTTGTTTATCGTTTTTTCAATCTCAACAATAAATACCTTTGAAATAAAATAAAATAAATGTATTTTATAAATCGCGGTTACGGTTTGCCGATTTTTCTGTTAGGGTTCCTTTTTGAGAAGTGTTGGTTTCTTCTGTCGATTCAACGAAAAACCGTGTACGTTTCCTATTCACACGGTAATTCCATACCCGAAACTTTTTTTTTATGTACCGGACGTCCTACTTTTGAAAGTAATACAAATGGTTTGGTGTAAAAGTTCCTAAATAGCCCGAAACAGGGCAACGAAATATTTAAATTTAAAAAGTGTAACTACAATAACTAATTTGCATGTATTATAAAAATAAAAATAAAAGACGAGGAAGGTCGAATGCTATTATTTCAACAAATTATTTATAATGCTATTACACTTGACTGTGGGTAATAATTTTCAACTCTTTAATGCCACAACACAATTGCACATTTTACCAGAGAAGAATTGTTTTTGTCTCGAAAAACCGCATCTGCACAATAACTTTTTTTAATATCATACTAAAGACAACAACCATTATTTTTTAGGTATCACCACTACACTGTTGTCTATTACAGTTGAAAATTATGTGGACGCGTTAATCTAGTTACTTGTGTTATATTGTGTTCTTTATAATCTTTCATAATGATAATATATTTTTAGAATTTCCTGCTAATTGAAATTTCATTTCAACATAAACTTATTATTCATACAAAAGTTTTCCAAAAAGATGTCGCATACGCAGCACTACTGAGTGCACAATATGGGGTTTTCTTGTGATTTAAAAGTTGGAAAATAATGAAAGAAACGTATGCGTTTCATACTTAAAAGTTCTTTTGAATTTATTATTATTATCATCTTTGTTATTCTTGTTGTTTTCAACTCTTTACTATATATTATTGTTGCCTTTAAATTAAACAAATCTCACGCCGGAATAAACTTATGAAAATTTTAAATTTGCTCAGACGACTGTTGAGCAGAGTAAAAATCAATAATTGTCCACGGTAGACTTACCGTATATAAACTTTACAGTGAACCCATCCATCATAATATAGAAAATAGTAGCTATCGTTGACAAATAATTCTTTCGTTGCAGATAATGGCGGTCCATTTTTAGCGAATGACAATCGTCAGCAGATTGCATTAGGTTCTATATATATATACACATGTATGTATGGATATACGTTTTTTTCAATTTTTCACCAAGACATTTTTAGTCGTGTCCATTTGTTTATATAGCGCGCTGAAATTTTTTTTCAGACACCTCTTTGTCGTTGTGTACATCTTTTTAGTAAATATCTTTTTGGGGTACAAAGACAACATCAGCTGTGTTCTGAAATGCCTGCAGCATAGACCTATTAATCTATCCGTGGCCTACAATATTCGATTATCTGATTACCGATCCCTGTCAATGTATATTTACTAATATATTTACTTATCAATCGTTCCGAGATATGTTGTACCAGATATGCGTTAACGATTTATGTTCGTTTTAAGTGTCATGCATGTGTTGCGGTACGATAACGCTTGTAACTGGTCATCCAACCTCCACAAGTCGGCTGGAGATGATGAGATAGCTGAATATTGTGCAAAGAGAGAAGAGGAATGTGCTAGGGTGTATACTTTGTAGCTATTTCTCTTGTTGAATAAGTTTTGGTACACTGAACATAGTGTATGCAATTTTGCCGTGCGGTTGCCGGTTGAGTTGGCACATTTGGGTGACTATTGGGCGGAATTTAGAACATTTTTGGATGGATTCATATTTGAGAAAAATAACCACAATATATCTTTTGAAATTAACAATAAAAAAATACATTTAAGTGACTTAACTCATTTTTTGTAGAATAAATGCCAATGTCATTTTGAGTCTACAGATACATGATATTTTTTCGGTTTATTTATTTTAGTTGTCAAATTACATATAGGGTTTAGTGTATTTGCATTATGCGTTTATAGTAGGTACTATTAATATAATATGCGAAATTATGAAATTATACCTACATTAAATTGGGTTGAAGTACATTAAATTTTTATAATTACATGTGACATATATCCGTTAGATACTAAATTAAACATTAAGAATAAAATATAAGACAAATAATTAATGTTAATGTAGACATTTATAACTACAATGCATTGGTACAACATTAAAAATGAGTGTTTTATACAAACTATTGTACACTCGTGCTAATATTTAATTAAATTTATACAAATTACAACTATATTTAATACAAATTATTACAATATTTTAAGTTTTACTCCGTGGCTCGTGATTGTAACAATAACAATATTAATAAACACACGTTAGTATTATTTATTAACTAAAACATTTTTGTAAAACAAATTTTCTTCTCAATGTCATTTAAACTCATTTTGATTTTAATTTGAAGTCAAGCTTCATTTGAAAATAAGTAATAACTAACAACATTTATTTTACTGAAGAGATCATTAAAAATATAACTGAAAATTGACCATAGTCTATACCATTTAGTTAAAAATAAAACCGAATTAATATTAACTGTGCCGTAGATAATTAAACAGAATAACGGTAAATGATATTGTTTTATAACAAGAATATTATTAATTATACATAGTTTGAGACACAAACCAGGTTCTTTTGTGTTTGGATCGAGACTCTGCTTGAATAATTAATTACAGAACTTGAACGACATTTAAGTTACTTGAACCCACAACTTTACTGAAACTCATAAATACCGCAAGTACCGCAGTACACGCAAAAAGAACCTACGACCGAACAAACACGAAAACGAAATAATATAACATATATTATACAACTTGAATGATAATCACTTTGAACATGTCGTTTAGTAGGTATTACCATTGAGTATATATTGTTTATATACTCAATGGTATTACGTACCGTTGTTATAGATAGTTGCCGCGGGTTTCTTTTTAAGTATTAGGTATACATTGTTCGTTACAGGGCCTAATACAATTATTATTTTATAAAAACCATATCGACAAAATTATTCACTTTAATGCGACTCAGTCAGTAATGTCTGTCTGCCGTTAGCGCCGAAGATGGGAACGTTGTCTCCGAAATATGTAATTGCATTTAAGTGAATATTTTTGCGGATAGGATTTTTATTTAATAAATATAAACACCACAATTGACTCTTAACTTAAATTGTATTCTAATAAAATTGTCTCATTCTATTAATACAATTTATGAGCATCGTTCCACTATAACCAGTACTTAAAACAGCGTTTCCTTAATTTTTACTATATAATATATACAGGGTGATTCTTTTATCACGGGCCACTGAACCATCTCATAAGGTTTAAAAATAATTTAAATTTTCATATTTTTGTTATGCAATGCGATCTCAATTTTTCACAATGT